GCAGCCAACCAACTCTCACTATCTTTATCCCGAATAGCTTCCTTGAAGGAGACCGGCTCATCTTCCTCCACCGAGAGTGCGTATTCCACCAAATTAACCTGCCCATAGTGCTTCAGGGGTTGATCAGCCCCCAACTTATGTACCTGTTTGTATGCTCGCCTTGGCCTATGTAGGCTGTCTAAAAATCACAATGGATAGCTGATAACCTCCTCTTGCTCAAGCTCATCATCTACCTGATTTTTCACTTGAACATGACTAGAATCTGGTTGGTCTTTAGGTTCTATCTTAATAACCTGTGACTTTAAAGTCCCAATAGTCCTAACACCATCATCCTTGGGCGCTCTAGCAATCATGGATTTTTCATCAAAGGTAACGTCCCTGCTGATCACGAACTTCAAATATTCTGTACACCAAAGGCGGTAGCCTTTTACGCCCTTTGCATACCCCAAGAATATCGCATTGGCCCTCGCATCAAGCTTTCCCTCGTTGACGTGAGAATAGGCGGTACATCCGAAAATTCTGAGCCTCTCATAATCCGCATGTTCCCCTGACCACACCCTATAGGGTGTATTACCATCCAATGTTGAATGTGGAGAACGATTCACAATGTAACATGTTGTAGCCACCGCTTCTGCCCACCATTCGTTGCCCAATCCAGCATAAGATTGCATACTCATTGCCTTCTCTCGCAATGTTCGGTTCAGTCTCTCAGCGACCTCGTTCTGCTGTGGTGTTGACCTGACTGTCTAGTGTCGAACAATGCCCTCTTGATCATAGAATTTTTTGAAAGCACCATCTGTATACTCTGTACCGTTGTCAGATCTCAGTGTCTTCAATTTCTTGCCTGTCCTGTTCTTAACCATTGCTTTCCACTTCTTGAATGTCTCGAATACCTCATTCTTATGCTTAAGAAAATAAATCTAAGCATACCTAGAATAACCGTCTATGAACGAGACAAAATACCTGAAACCACCCTTGGAAGTTATCTGAGTCGGACCCCAAACATCCGTGTGCACATAATCTAGTATACCTCTGCTCTTGTGATTGCTTTTCAAGAATTGGACCCTGTGCGCCTTTTCATACACACAATCCTCACAAAAATTCATGCAAGGTTTCTTCAGATTCTTCAGCAAACCCTCCTTACCAAGCAGAACTAGATCCTTCTCTGACATGTGCCCAAACCGCCTATGTCATAACCGTGTGTGCTCACGTGAGTCTCCACCACTTCCTTCAGTTCCAACCGCTGCATCTCCTGTCACCGTCGTACCCAAGAGAGTATATAGATTACCGTGACGAACACCTTTCATCACTGTTAGAGAACCTCGAACAACCTTCTTCATTCCGTTCTCTGTAACAATCTTACAGCCACCGGAGTCCAATGCACCCACTGAGATAAGATTCTTCCGCAAGTCGGGAACGTGCGGCACGTCCGTTAGGATTCTGACCACTCCATCATGCATCTTGAGTTTTATATCACCGAGCCTAACCGTTATACAAGCATGGTTATTCCCCATCAATACGGTTCCACCATCAATACTTCTATAGGTATTAAACCACTTCCTATTTGGGCACATGTCGTAAGAGCAGCCCGAATCAAGTATTCACTTACCGGAGATATCTTCGCTACCCGTAATAACATAGCATTCTTTCTCGCTCCCTTCGATGCGTAACTCGCCTCTTCCTTGCCTTATCTTCTCTCGGTCTTGTTGTTCTTTTTCCCACCTACTCTCTTGTTAGGACAGTCAACCTTGAAATGCCCTAGCTCACCGTATTTGAAACACGCCCTTCCCGCAAGAGGTCTCGATTTCGATCTAGACTTTCCCCTCTTGTCTTTTCCTCACTCATTGCTCCTTCCTCTAGCAAACAATCATTGCGCTTGTTCTTTGTTACCACCAGTAGTCATGTCACTGGTTGTAATCTTTTGAAGGTCATCTGCTAGAAGCGCCGTTCTAGTCTCATCCATCGTCAAATTGTCTCCCACATGCATCTGTGTTTGCACCAGGTTCTCATAAGATTTCGACAGAGATAGAAGTAGTAGAAGAGCCTGATCCTTATCTTCTACAGTCACATCGATGTCCTTCAGGTCCGATATAATCCTATCAAACTTGTTGATGTATTCCCGGATTGATGAGCCCTCCTCCATCTTGCAAGTATACAATTTGGATTTCAAATAGATTCGGTTCGTTAGACTATTCGTCATGAATGTGCTTTCTAACTTCGACCACACGCCCGCAGCCGTTTCCTCTCCATGTACCAAGAAAGCTACATCCCTTTCAAGGCAAAGGATAATCGACACCCGTGCTTCCAGATCCAGCTCCTCCCAATCCTCATCAGACATATCCTTGTGCTTCTTCTCTTTTCCTGCCAAAGCTTTGTGCAATTTCTGCGAAATCAACGTGTTCTTCATCTGCATCCTCCAATAAGAAAAATCATTCTTCCTATTGCATTTTTCAATCTCGTACTTTCCAACTTTAACTATTTTACTTGTTGACGCCATTCTCCGTTTGTATTAATAAATCCGTTTCTCTCAGGAAATTACCGAGCACCACCTCAAATCAGAAGCTACAACACTCCCAATCTGAATAACAACGCTGATACTAATTGTTGGGCACAAAATCACGCCCACCGCCGCGGAAGCGATATCACCTGAGAGAAAGCCCTGGCTTTTGTTGTCACAAAAGCACAAGTCAACCTCTATATTCTTGTTTCTTAAAGGAAACGAGAATATATAGTGAAATTCTTATTTCTCAAAAGAAACAAGAATTGAAAGTGATATATTTTATCAAAGTGAAATATACACTCTTCCTCTCATCAGCTCTAAAACCAAATATTGAGGGAACCTACAAGCAATAGCCAACAACTAGAAAACAATAAATACACGAGATTTATGTGGTTCGGTAAACTTGCCTACGTCCACGGGAGGGGTGAGGAAAGATTCCACTATGAGAAGAACACCGATGACTTGTACAACCCACAAGCTCGTCTCAAAGAAAAAAAAAAGATCTAATTTTTATCCAAAAGAAATTGACCTCTCTTTTGTAA